GGGGGGGGGGGGGGGGGACTGCTGGCTATTTTATGTGGATTCTCACCTGATGGAGCTGTTCGAACATTCACATTTTATGGAGCAGTGGCTTCTTTTGATGTTCTGGTTGAATTATGTGGACCTTATCTCTTGTTTTATCAAGCTTAAAGAATCACAGTGATTAAAGTAAATTGAATCTCTCTAGTTTGAGAAATAATACGGACTACCCCTCTAGCTTCACATGTTGTTACAGGGACCTCCTCTACTTTTTATGTTAGTTAACAAGGCCATTGAACTGGATAAGGTATGCAAGATATGCTCTTAAATGACCATTAGTACCCTTGAGCAAAATTTCAATTTCCATGATATAATTCTTTTATGTTTTCAATATTATAATAATAATTAGTTTTCTGATAACTGTGGTGTCCGCACTAGCTTGAGCACTCCTCCGCTAATTCCACGATATACTTGTCACTTCCAACCAACAATAATTACCAGGTAACTATATCCCTAGGACAGATTGGAAGAAATCACCTAGTGCAGTCTTTATTGGGATTTGAACTAGAGACTTCATGGTTCACCCACTTCATTGACCACTAGGTCACACCCTTGGGTGCTTTTCAATTTTTGCTTTTTTCCAAAAAAAAACTCTTGCAGTCATCAACACCCTTTCCTTTCCCGTTGCCACTGCCGCCTTCCAGAGGCTGAGGTAGGATTTGAAATTTATGGGTTCCAAATTTTAAATTTAATTTTTGTACATATTTAAGGTGTGTTTGGTATGAAGGAAAAATGTTTTCCTAGAAAATATTTCCTCGGAAATCAATTGGATTTCTTACTTATTTTCTAGTGTTTGTTAAGTAAGTAAAAAATAATTATCTCAAAAATATATTTATATGTAATCTAGCAAACCATTTATGGAGGTGAGATGGGGTGAGGGTGGGGTTTCAAGGGTGGCGGAGGGTGGGATGGTCAAGAGGTGGGGGTTGGGGGTGCTGGGTGAGTAGGGAAGAGATGATGAACTTGGAATGTCTCTTATGGAACTTGTTTTCCCTACTTCCATTAAGGAAGTCATTTTCCCAGTTTTAAGATACTTATTTTCCTAAAGAAAATGTTTTCCAAAGCATTTGACCAAACCAAACATGAGAAAATTGAAAAATATTTTCCTCCATACCAAGCACACCCTTAGTAAATTTCTTAATACAAATACATGATTTGAATTAAAGTTATTAGGTTCAACCGAACCCGTACGTGGGCTTGTAGCTCCACCCGTGTTGCCTTCCCTTTCCCAATCAAACTCAGCCAAAGAAAAAGGGCCACATAAAAAGTGAAGGAGTTTTGGGTTAGGTGGGCATTTGAAAATTTTGCCATTAGCTTGAGATGATTGGGAAGATAACAAGGTAGAGGAAGTGCATTTAGGTTTTCAAGTAGGCAAAAAGTTCAAGTAATTCAGCTTTCTTTCTTTAATGGAGGAAAATGTTGTGAAAGTGGAGAGACTGGGAAGCTGACCAGACCTTTCATGTCTAATTGCCTATTTTGCCAAGCTTTTGGGAAGCCGAAAGTGTTTTTATTTTATTTTAGGGAAGTGCTTCTTTTAGAGAGTTGAGATGCTTGGCCAAGCTTTCATGAAAAAACTAAGTATGTTTGAGTAGTAGTAAATGTTGTTTTTTCTGTAGAAGAAAAAGTAACTTCTCCCAAGAAGGATTTTTGGAACCTTGGCCAAGCACAATTGGTGTTGCAACACTGCCTAAAGTGCTTTTCAAATTAATTAGCCAAACACAAACTGTTGCTCTTAATGTACTTCTTCGGAAAAAAACTTATGACAAAAGCACCTTTCAGAATAAGCAGATTTTGGAAGCTTTGGTCAGGCAGGCTATAAGTTGTGAAATGTAGCTCAAGAGATTCTTTTTTATCTTGCCTTGTGATTATGCCTAAAATCCACTAAGCACTGGTGGATCTGTTCATATAAAGTAGTATGCATCTCCAACATATGGATGACTAAGTTCATTTGCTTTTTTGATACAGCATACAGAATTGGATAGCAGATCTATACTGGAAGCAGCTTGATATAGAATATCCTGGAATGGAAGATGCAATGGTGAGTGCACAATATTTGGAATCTATTCTGCTTTGTTTTGTGTATTTATCATCTTTTCTGCAGGAAGATTAAAGTCAGTTTTGCATCTTGCAGGTGCATCATGGATTTTATTCTGCTTACCACAACACAACATTACGCCCTGGAGTGCTAAGTGCTGTTGAAAGTGCAAAAGAACAGTATGGAGACATTCCCATTATGGTGACAGGACATTCAATGGGAGGGGCCATGGCTGCTTTTTGTGGATTGGATCTCACAGTATGTTTTAAACTTGCTGCTATTTTATGACTTTCCATCGACTTTATATTTTGACCTGCTTTTCCAATTAGATAGTTCAGGTTATAGAATAACCTTGTAAGCTCTATTGCATTTGCACTCCCTGACGAATAGTTACATGTTTCAGTTTCCCACTTTGCTTCATGAATCATGAATTTATGATTTGACAAGATGCGTTTTATATCTCTTTTACTAATATTTTCTATTTATCAGTTGTAGATGTTCATACTTATGATTAGAAAAGGTGGAACTGTATGCTTGATGGATCTTGTGACATAACTAGGCTTCCCCCCTCCCCCATCCTCCCCCAAAAAAGAAAAATGAGCTAGTGTTTCTATTGACTTATTTTATGTATGCTTATTCCAGGTAAATTATGGCTCGCGGAATGTTTCAGTTATGACATTTGGACAACCTCGAATCGGGAATGCTGCTTTTGCGTCCTACTATAGCAAATGGGTGCCAAATACAATTCGGGTCACACATGAACATGATATTGTCCCTCATTTGCCCCCATACTATTACTATTTCCCTCAGAAAACTTATCATCATTTTCCTAGGGAGGTAACTGTTCTACAAGCATAACTCAAATATTTTGTGCCTAATTTTAATCTGATTGAAATCCAGCTGTCAATTCAGTACTTGGAAAAATTGTAAGGAATGAAATAGCAACGTCCTGTGTAGTGAATATCTTCAGTACAGTGATTTAGCTATTCAAAAAATTTATTTATTCAAGAAAACAGTGTAACAAATTGAAGAATGTTGACTTGTACTTGAGCTCTTACTATACGTTAAAGATAATTATATATTTTTATACATTGTTGTGTGTTGCTCGCAATCCCATTTTCTGCCTGAATAAATTGAAAGTATGATGTCATTTTTTATGTAAGTTTCATCAATTTAATGGCTGTTGTTATAAATTAATCGTTGGTTTTATTCTTGTATTTGAAATCTCCGATATTGCAGGTGTGGCTCCATAACCTAGGCTTTGGACTTCTTTCTTATACAGTTGAAAAGGTCTGTGATGATTCTGGGGAAGACCCTTCTTGTAGCAGGTAACTTCTCTCTGTCATGGGCTTATCTGTAATCAATTTACAAGAGAACTGCAAATTGGTGTATATTAAACATAGTTTGTGCTGGTCAGATTAAAAAATAGAGGAGAAATCATTATAGTAAATTGGTATTAGTAAAGGGCACACTGCAATCTGCATCATTGTCACTATGCGGCTTCCTTCTTTATTTAAAGGAGGTTTGGTTCGTTCCACAAAATTGTGTAGAATAAAACTGTAAAATCTCTGTGAAGCTCTAATAAGCTCAAAAAGTTCACTGGATTAAAGAAAAGGGGACATAAAGGATAAAACCAAAAACAAAGTAATAAAAGAGTTGGTACTTTGTCCGACTAAATTACGGAAAAAGACGGAAGGTTGTAGTTTCTCTGTTGAACAATCATATGTGTAAGAGCTTAATTGGTTTTTCTAAGTACAACTGTTTTACGCCTCTCACTGTCAAATTCTAGAAAGAAATTTCCTCATTCCTATTTTGTTTGACCTAATTGTTATATATCTAGTAGATAACATTCTGCTTTCACCATGATCTTTTCAATTACTCTTTTATCATTCTTTGATTCAATTATTTGTGTTTGGTCTTGTTTATAAACCTATTACCTTTATAATTTGAAAATAATTCACCAATATCCAAAGATAAAACTGAAGATTAATCAAGTCACCCCATTTGAACTGAAGTTTGGTCATACAAATCAGTTAGGAGATGGTAGTTCAAAAATATTCTTAGAGAGAAGCGAACTATTTTTTTTTCACTTTCTTCTTACCAAAGGAATTATGATATCAATATTGATTTGAATTGTCTCAAAGCCAGACGCTATACACCCATGTGAAACATGTCCGGTTACCAAAGGAGAGGCCTTCCTAGCCCCCGTCCCTTTTCTGATTGTCCTTTGTGTTGTGGAGAACTCGCGGAATTTTGCTAGTGCTCTTGGCCTGTTTGCTAATTTTCTAAATACTCCAGGTCAGTAGCTGGTAGAAGTATTAAGGATCATCTGACGTATTATGGTGTAAGATTGGGAGGTGAAGAATCAGGATTCTGCAAAATTGTGATGGATGATCGTCTTGCTGCATATGGCAAAGTTGATGTTGATGGAAATGTCAATCTATCCAGAGATTTTTCTGCTTCTGTTTTGGGGATGAATGTTGAATCTAATGAGGAAAGGCGGTCAATATAGAGGTTTTCTGGGATTATTTTCTTGCCTTTTGGGGAGGTGAATATAGGTCCCTGGTAAGGCTAAATTTGAGCTGTATCCCAATCAATTGTGCAGTTTGGTCATACACTGGGGAGATCATGTATTTTTAGTTTTTTTTTTTTTTGATATGTACATAACATTTATGTAAATAATTTTTTTACTATTGTTATTAACTAAACCCAGTGAGAATAGTGCGACTGTTCAACTCTGAAACAGAAGTGACCAAGTGAAAGATTTATCAATACCGTTCATTTAGCCAAAAGTTAATTATTGATCAGAAAGCTTGCACAACTCAACAAACCATATATAAAATACTACAACAACAATATAACAAGTGGTGGTTTGGCGAGAGTGAGGTGTACACAGACTTTACCCCTACCTTATGTATGGCAGAGAGATTGTTTTCGAAAGATCAAATTGTGCCATGTATAATTTGGCAAGAATTATCCTTATATGATGTAAAGTGTTAGTTTACAATAAACATTTAAAATAGTAGTATGCTATCATTATTTAGTAAGAATTTAACATTTCGTACCGTAACTATTCATGTTTTACACCATATGGTTGTTTTACTTCTTATTTTGAGGATAATATGATTCTTAAAATGACCTTTATATAGTAACATATTTCTCAAGAAAGGGACTAATTAAATGAATAGTAAAGATTCTAAAAATACAGTATTACTAATACACATAGAGCTTAGTTGGTTTATATGATAGTTGAAATGAAAACTTACCAATAATGAGTGACTAGAAGTGCAATTCTTTCATCACAGAGTTTGTGTTTCATTGTTTTATTTTTTTAATCAAGTACTAGCAGGGAATATAATTTAAATATTTATGCTGCTTCGAGTAATATAAATTGACACCATCTAGCACACACTAATCTGTACTAGTAATAAATAAGTTGACAAGAACTCACATGTTTATAGGAATTATAACTGAAACTTCTCAGCGCAATTTACTCCGTATTAGTCATGCCTCTGCTCGAATCTACCCCCTTAATTATTTTTACGTTGTTTTTCCAACATTTAACAACATATAATTCAAAATTCTGTAAATTTGTCTCTTAAAGAAAATATTATAAGTTTTTTTCTTAATAAAAATATATTAAATAAAATTTCTAAATCAGTGTTACGGTAGTTTATCCATCATTTTCCGCACCTGTCCAATGGAGGAGCTAAAGGGGTTTTAACAAAGAGGGATCATATTCCGATCAACCTACAAGAACAATCACTAAGGATCGTGGTGAAATAGTAAATACTTGTTCATTCTTAATTAATGATTTCAGGTTTGAATTCCATAAATACAAAATAGACTTTGTTAGGCAGCGACGTATTTTTCAATGTGAGATTTTTTGACATAAATTTAAATTTAGTCGAATCCCAATACATACCATCTCTTCCTCCCGAAAAAGGAAAAATAAAAATAAATCATTAGCAATATAGATGAACCATCTAAGAAAAATATTTAGTCGCATTCAGAGCTCATACAAAATTATGCGTTTTGGTTGTATATTTTTTATTACTTGATTAAATTACACGTAATCTCACTTCATTTTATAATAACAAGTTAAATCATTTTTTTAAAGTTACGTAATGTCAACTGTCAACCAACTAACTTGAAGGTCAAATGCCCAATAGATCCCCATAACACCGTTATAACGGTGCTTATCCTTTTTCTCTCCCATGCCCCACCCACTCAACTAGATCTTATCCTCTCTCCCTCTCCACACCCCACTCTTATTTATACCTTCAAATATTATTTTTCAGTCCACATTTACTTGTTCAATATTTAGAAAATAAATTTTACTTTTACTTGTTATTTCAATAAAATCCCACTAAATTAATAATCTTTGACATTATATTTTCCTTCAATTTCAACTTGGGTCGATGGGAAAAATTATTCATTTCGACAGGATAATAAGATAATATATTTTCAGAAGACCCCTACATAAAACGTATGGTCCCATAAATATTATAAATTAATCATTCTTTAAAAGTACAAATTTATATTTAAGACAATTTAGTGAAATATAATTCTATTGTGTTTCGTTTTTTGGTTAAAATTTAAATCTAATTGAAGCTTATCTCTTACTTTTCTTATTGTATCTAAAAGTTTTGATATTGTCTTTTCGAACTGCATCATAAAATTATGAAGAGTTCTTAATGCAATAAATGTTTCTTAGACGTAATTAGTTTCAAAAATACTGTATCATCTTTAACAGTAAATAATTTAAAATAACTATTTATAAAAATCAAAATAGATAATTTGAGACGGAGTGAATATTTCCTTAATTATTTCCATATATGGTATAGTATTAACCACTATTATTGTTGTTGCAATATCTTAATGGGGTATGGCTGCATATAAAGATCGTTTGTCCCTTATTATAACGAAATGTCATATTCACTTTGATTGAATTTTGGGTTTTCAGCCCATTCCCCTTTGTCTCCTCAGCCCTCCTCCTTCGGCTATCTTGGTACCGGGGGTGGTGGGTGTACTTTGTTTCCCTGCAAAAATATGGAAGGCTCCTGCAATGAACGCCTTTATTTTGGCAAAATGGGTTATGGGTATGGAAAAATAACGTATATTTATGCATTTTTTTTATGTGTATTATACATGTTAACCTTCAGATTTAGGATAATGTGCATCTTAACTGTTTGATTAGTGAACTAAATGATGAAATGCCCTTTTTTAGCTGGTGGGTTAACTTTGATTTTATGTTTTTTTATGTGGGGTTATCTGTATAAGCTTCAAGATTGAAACTTTGTTAGTGTCTGATTGGGATTTTAATTAATTGATTTGTGGATATGTGATAGATGTGAGCACTATAGGAGAAGATGCAGGATTAGGGCGCCTTGCTGTAATGAGGTCTTTGATTGTCGTCATTGTCACAATGAAGCAACGGTAACTTTGTTAGAGAATTCCCTTTCATGATCTTGAAGTTACTCACTGTTAATTGTTGTATTATCAATCTGATGACGATTTGTTGTGTTTTGTTTTGCTGTGTTTGTTTGATTAGAGCTTGTTGCGCAATATATATGATCGGCATGAACTGGTTCGACATGATGTAAAGCAGGTACTGTTTTGGGGATTATTATTCTTCGGTGTTATGGTTTAGAAGTTCTTACATGAAGTGTGTGTTGTTTTTGTATATCAGGTCATTTGCTCAGTTTGTGATACAGAACAGCCAGTAAGTGTCCCTTTATTTGATTTTGATTTTTTTCTTGGTTGGTGATATACGGAATCGAGTCTCTAATGTCTTCCTTTATTTCAATTTAGGTTGCTCATGTTTGTACAAATTGTGGTGTAAATATGGGAGAATACTTTTGTGAAGTGTGCAAATTCTATGACGATGATGTAATTATCCTATGCTTCTGCTGAATGAGATTCATTCATTGCCCCTAGCCTCATATTAGCTCAATGTCCTTTGTTCTTTAGGATCTAGACACTTTTATCGACTACTTATATCAATGTATTTATTTTTATAACTCCATTGTTACAGACAGACAAAGAGCAGTTTCATTGTGATGATTGTGGAATCTGCAGGTTAGTATACACGTTGCATTGGTAGCTTATCGAGAATACTTTAGTGCTTCTGAAGTCTGCTAATTAGAATATTTTCTTTTGTGTAGAGTCGGTGGCCGTCAGAACTTTTTTCACTGCAAGAAGTGTGGTGCGCATTACAATTTCCTATTATTATATTTGAGACTCCATGGAAACTGCTCTCTTTTTCTTAAGTTTGTTATATGTTACTTTAATTTTTCTTTATTTGCTAAACTGTGAACGCATTGGTGATTCTGTACTATGGGACTCAGTTGGATCTCTCATCCTTTAAAATATTCTTCTATTTTGTTTCTGTTGTCGACTTGTCTTCTATGGGACCGAATAAAGAATTACTATTTACTAACATCAATTGGGTAGTATATAGATAAGTTCTCCTTTGGTTAGATCGTAGTCTTAAAGACATACCAGATATGGATGCTTCAATCCTGTTTCTTTGTTACAGAATGTGTTTGTATATTACAAGCATGGAACTTTGTTTTTACTTTATTGTTTACGTGCTTGTAAATTATCACAGTCAATATGAAGATTTTATTTACACATTCTATACTAGTTGTAAACACAATTGTACATGCATGGTTCATCGGTCTTATATAGATGTACTCTTTTTTTTGTTGTTGTCTTTTTCTCCCTTTCGAAGTGTGGAATATTGGAGTTCTGTCCAAGTATTTCCTAGAGTTCTCATTGTGAAACTCCATCTAAGTGTGTTTGAGTGGTTGAAGCTCCCTGCTTTCTCATGCCACTGGTTAATAAGTTGGTTTGGCCAAAGCAAGCAGAACAGTTGAAAGCTTTTCAAGTTTTTTTCTCTTGCTTATAGCTGCCAAATGGGCCAGGCTGGTGCACTTAAACCCAAACCAGACTGGACCACTTAAGACCAAAGGGGCCGCCGGGTTAGGGGGAAGGGTTACGGGTGTGGGAGGGGCTGGCTGGACCAGTTCTGGCCCCTAACTAGATTTTTTTTTTTACAAAACATACTAGCAATTTGCACATTCTATTAAAAATATATAGTAGTTCGAAGTTATACTTGAACAAATTTAAAGCTTAAAAATGTGAGTTTTTTTTTCTAAAAATAATTCTAATCTCTTTTGTATTGAACATTTAGAGTTAAATTTGAAGTAAAAAGGAAAACGTCAGGCCCACTTAAGGGGTTGTGGGGTGGGCCGGTCTCACTAAAGTTCCCAAAAACCCGCCCCCAGCCTGTCCTCCTTATCCAGCATCTGACTGCCCCTACCCCGAACCCATGGTCCCCCTTCCCCTTGGTTCGTCCCAGACTGGACTGTCCCTGTTGACAGACATACTCTTGCTAAGTTGGGAAATTTTCCAAATAAACTGAATATCTTACTTTCTTCCTTCTCTTTTTGATATACGAATTCTCAACAGTAGACATTCAATTATGTTGTGACATCTTCTATCTCTATCATTTCATTGCCGAAAATGTTGTAGCTTCTTCACCTTATCTTGTTCATTCTGTAGGGTCTTGCTATTCAGTTAATTTACGTAATAACCACTCGTGTGTGGAGAACTCCATGCGGCATCATTGCCCCATTTGTTATGAGGTATTGTATATGAAGTTTTATACCTTTGCTGTGGATCCTGCCACCAATTATTTTAATTCATGCTGCGATAATTTTTGAAATGCAGTATCTCTTTGATTCTCTTAAAGACACAACAGTAATGAAATGTGGGCACACAATGCACACT